TGACAACAGGGAAGAACACGGGCACTCCCCTAGCACCTCACACACCCGGAGACCCTCACACCAATACACCTCCCGTCCTGGCAGCGCTGGAGGCGATAATCGGAGAGATGCCCATCACAAGAGACTGGAGACAGAAGCGAGGAATCCAATTACAATGTGAGAATTAAACCCTCACCGTGGCACCGCTAACACACGATTGGGAAACGGCATGGAACAGAGTAGACAGGAGTGAAAATGCACCCTCAGGGGAAGGCCTGTGATCGCCGCAGGAACTCTACGGAGGGGGAGGGAGAGAGAGAAATTGCGATCAGGCAGATGTGGAGGGGAGGGGCCGGTGGCAGGTTTCTCCTTAACCCTAGGAACCACTGTGTCTAAGCATGAGAGAGCAGCAAACTGAAGTCTGGACTTGAGCTCCCCTTCTCTTGGGTGCTGTTGTGCGGATCTCAAATACAAACAGTCCTTTAAACGTACACTGTGTAGCTCGTGTCTTTTATCATCGCCTGCATTGAGAGATTTCTGAATTTACAGCCACATCATGTGGAAAACGGCTCATTTGTTTTTTTTAATGTTTTCTTGACTTTCAGAGAGAGAGAGAGGAAGGGAGGGGGAGAAAGATAAGACACATCAGTGATGAAAGAGAAACACAGATTGGCGGCCGCCTCCTGCACACCCCTTACTGAGGATGGAGCTCACAACCCAGGCCTGTGCCCTGACCGGGAATCGAACCGTGACCTCCCAGTTCCTAGGTCGATGCTCAGGCACGGAGCCACGCTGCCCAGGGCAGGCTGTTTTCCATGGGTTGGTTTTAGGGCCTGAGCTGCCAACTGGTCATTATGAGGTGGAAACCAACGTCTGCCAAACTCAAAATGCATGGCACCAAAAATACCGATCCTGTTTTTTTTTTTAACTGCAAAGTAAGCACACCTTGCTTCTGCCTCTGCCCACATACTCCTCAGCTGTTCCGGAGCCAGTGAGCGAGGCCCTGCCCCCGTGTCACGGAGACGCCGGAGCCTAGGAGCACAGCCGCCTTGTTCCTCCGATCCTCGATCCTCCGTGGCAGATGCCTGGAAACATGAGATTGTGTGGGTTTTTCCGCACCAACACAATTAGCATACAAAAGGTACGCTCAGCATTCCGGAAACTGGAATGGTTTTAGAGACTCTGTGCCAGGGACCCAGGAAAAAAAAAAAAAAAAAAAAAGAACAAAAGCATCTATTTGTTACACTGTCTTCCAAACTGTATCCACTCTCACTTTTCTAGGTTTTCTCACTAGGGACCCTGGGGGGGAGTGAGAGAGGCCCAAGCCAGACCACTCCGCAAAGCCCAAACCAGCTATCTGGGACAAGAAACTCAGCCAGCCCTGCCCTCTTCTGCGGCAGCACAGGATGTTTAGATCAAATGAGCTCTAAGATCACGGATGGAGTCTGGCCCGCCGGGCTCAGGGGTTGAATGCAGACCCAGGAACCAGGAAGTCATGGTTCGATTTTCGGTGCTTATAAAATTGCATTTAAAATTTTTGTTGTTGTTGTTAATCCTCACTTGAGGATATTTTTCCCATTGATTTTTAGAGTGTGGGAGGGAGGGGGAGGAGGGGAGGGGAGGGAGAGGGAGAAGGAGGAGCGGGAGACGGAGAGGGGGGAGCAGGAGAGGGAGAAGGAGAGGGAGCGGGAGAGGGAGAAGGGGGAGCGGGAAAGGGGAGGGGGAGAGGGAGAGAGAGGGAGTGGGAGAGGGAGAGGGAGAGGGGGGAGCGGGGGAAAGGAGAGGGGGAAAGAGGGAGGGAGACATCGATGTGAGAGAGACATATTGATTGGTTGCCTCCCACATGTGCCTTGATCGGGGCTGGGGATCAAACCTGCAACCTAGGTAGATGCCTTTGACTGGAATTGAACTTGGGACCCTTCAGTCTGCAGTCCAATGCTCTATCCACTAAGTCAAACCTGCCAGGGAGCATTTAAATTTTTTAAATTGATTTGAGAGAGAAAGGGGGGAGGAGAGAGAGGGAGAGAGAGAAACACAGTTTTTTTTTTGTCCCACTTATTTCTGCTCTCGCTGGTTGACTCCTTGGCAGACAGGAACAGTGTTGCAGCAACCACCGGATCTACCCCGCCAGGAGAAACCTCATCTGCAAGTCCCGGTTCTGGGTAAGCAGGCTCTCTGCGCCCGCTGTTTGCACTGCCTGCCTTTCCGCTCGGCCCCTCTCTGTCATCTGTCCGATGGGGACCGTCAGCTCATTCATCACCTGACAGATTTACTAACTCACTCATCATTTTGCCCGTCCTTCCCACTCATCCTCCACAGCCCAGCTGCCACTCACTCTGACGTGCCAGCTGCCTGCCCACGTCTGCCAGCCAGCTCAGCGGGCCACTGTCATTATCTCATTTGTCGGGACGTTTTAGTCCTTTTTCCTTATTAACTTGCCTTTGGGCATTTCCTAGGCTTTTTTTCTTTCCATTTTTGTTCCCCCGGGCCAATCATTTGGTTCATTTGTTTATTATCACACGATATTATCCATCCCTTGTCATTTGACAGCTTTTCAGATTCCATTAACCAAGAGGCATAAGCATTTAAATTCTCTCTCTTGTTCCCATTAGATGAAACCCATCCAGGTTTTGCCCTGTGTTCAGCCGACTTAGAATTTGCAGGAGAATGACATTTAAATGAGCATGTATTGCCCGGCCAGCCCGGCTCAGTGGCTGAGCTTCAATCTATGAGCCAGAAGGTCATGGTTTGATTTCTGGTAAAGGCGTATGCCCGGGGTTTCAGGCTCGGTCCCCAGTAGGGGGCGTGCAGGAGGCAGCCGATCAATGATTCTCTTTCATCATTGATGTTTTTCTCTCCCTCTCCCTCCCTCTCTAAAATCAGTAAAAACATATATATTTTTTAAAAGCCCCTTTGTTAACAATATCACATATATTATGCAAAAGGCAGACCGTTTCTTTCTCCCTCCCGAAGTCAGCGTGCAAACAGTGTAACTGATTTTTAAAAATTATCTTCGTAAAAAAATAAGAAGAAAAAATTCTCTTCATCTTTAGATCATATTGCCTACATATCACTATTCTTAAATCAATTTCAATCCATTTTTCTATCTTCCGGGGAATCAAAGCAAACATAGCAAAACAAATTTGATCCTCTGAGCCTTCTTTTCATTCCCAATCAGCATTGTTGTGTTTTGATAAAAATGCAACAATTTGATTTAATACCCATACAATCAGGGTGAAATATGGATGTTCCAATATTACCGTTACTTATGGTACCACATGAAACTATTCGGAGATGAGAGATAAGGTCCTTGAGTAATACTCTTCATTAAGAGAGGTTGGACATTTGGAAGAAAATCTGGTAACTAATAGCCTCTAAGTTACAATTTTTTAAAAGCCGGGTAAGTACAGACAGTCCCTCAGAACAGCATATTAAATTCACTTTCAAATTAGTATAGTTCAGCATTTCAGCCTTATGATTTGTATGCTCGGTAATACTTTTAAAATTAACTGTGGCGCGGACGGACACAGCACACACTTCTCAGCCATAATAATTTTTCTAAGGCTGTATCTTTATAACAGTAATTGCCTTCTTAGTGAAAGAAGACGCATTTTCAATCGAGGGACACCTCATTTATTACTTTTCTTATATGAGAGCTAGCTCAACGCCTGAGATTTTATTTTTTTCTTAACGATTTTTTTCTATGAGGAGAATGTGAAGGCTCCAGGGTGAAGCAAGCCCATTAGAAGGGAGGCATTCAGGAGGAGGCAGGGCTTTCCAACGTGGACACAAGACAGTTCTTGTCAAGAATGGACGACGCAGCCTGGCCCGTGTGGCTCAGTGGTTGAGCATTCACCTAGGAACCAGGAAGTCACAGTTCAATTCCCAGTCAAGGCCCATGCCCGGGTTGTGAGCTGGATCCCAAGTAGGGGGCGTGCAGGAGGCAGCTGGCAGGGAATCGAACTGGCGATCTCCTGGTTCAAAGGTTGATGCTCAACCACTAAGCCACATTAGCTGGGTGGTCCATGTTCCTTTCTATCTCCGTTACTACCGGTCCATGTCATTATCTCCAAGTCTAATCACTTAAAGAAGAGATGTAAATAATTCATTACTGCAAAAAAAGAAAAAAGCCATGTCGTCTTTTCCATTATCCACCAGAACCGGGAAAACCTCCTGTCCTAGCACCGACATGGGCACATACATACATTCATGTGTATGCGGAGAAGAACATGCCTATCAACAGACACAAATTCGCTTGGGGTGCTTTAGAGATGGAGAAACCAACATCCTCTTTCCATGTCTCCCCAGGACCATCCCAAAGCAACGTGAGAAACCATTCACTTATATACGTATACAAAAATGGATGTATTGATTTTTAGAGGGAGAAGGAGAAGGAGAGAGAAACATCAACAGGCTGCCACTTGCACGCCTCCTACTGGGGATCGAGCCCATAACCCAGGCATGTGCTCTGACCAGGATTCGAACTGGGGACCTTTCGGTGCACAGGATGACATCCAAGCAAATGAGCCACACGGCCAGGATGAGCAATACTCATTTCTTCACTCTTCTACTCCAATAAACATCCCTTCGCAGAGGTGCACAGTCTCCAAAAGACACACAGAGCTGACAGTCCTTGCACTCCGCTCAAACACATCCTATCTGTGTGGTCATACATGAGCATACCTATATGCATGCGTGTTCCCCACCCCCGCCCAGTCTAGACAAAATGCATCTACACTTATTAGATCGTCTTGGTTCACGGCATGCCCTCGTAGGAGGGACAGGAAGGGAGCAAAGTGAGAGAGGAAGGCACCTGAGCATCTCAGGCAAACATCTGAACGGCACTCCCGGAAGCAAAGCAGGCCACATGCACTTGGTTATCACTCACGACGCTCTCAGCAAGGTCTGCTCTCCCCTTTGGGCAAAAAAGCCAGAACTCTGCGCCAGGCGCCCTGACTGCGCTCACACCACAGAGGCCTCAGCCCTGTCCCCGGCCTCCATGGAGAGCAGGTGCGACTTACCACGAGGGAGAGAGGCCTTTTCCAGGAGACAACACCAATGAGTCCTGACAGCAGCACCTGGAGAGACAAAGGGCGCAGGAAGGTGAGATGCTTCGGGACCTTTAACGCACAATCGAAACAGTGTGGACAGCTGCAACCTGAAGGATCACTTCTAGGACATGTGCGCCCGCGCGCGCGCACACACACACACACACACACACACGTTATTCTCCAGCACAGAGCCCCAGGTCTCCCTCCCCAGCTCCTGTCCAAAAATGCACCTGCACTCCCTCTCCCCAACCCAGTCTTCCGCTTGGCACCCCTCCTCCTGATCACTCAAATCCTGGGGACAATCCCCTCTCCCTCACCCCAACATCCCAACAGGCACAGGGAAGAGAGTTCCAGAGGCCCCGTTGTAAGTAGGTCCTAGTGTTTTCCCGCAAGATCTCCATGAAGATGAGTCACCCAGGCAGTCAAGGCCCAAGCAGGAGAGGGCTTCAGATTTAAGACATAAATGCAGCCCCGCTGGCTGGCGTGGCTCAGTGACTGAGCATCAAACTAAGAACCTCAGGAGGTCACGGTTCGATTCCCAGTCAGGGTACATGCCCATGTTATGGGCTCCATCCCCAGTAGGGGGCGTGCAGGAGGCAGCAGGCCCATGATTCTCTTTCATCATTGATGTTTCTCTCCCTCTCCCTTCCTCTCTGAAATCCATTAAAAAAAAAAAACAAAAAAACTTATTTTTTAAAAAAAGACATAAATACAAGTTTCAAAGTAAAATTCAACCAGCCCCTCAAGGGGGCTCCTCTGGAGCCGAAGTGGGAAAGGAACAAGGAAGTGGACAGGTGTAGCGCCCGCCTGGGGAGCAAGTTACGTAAACCATTTGCAAGTCGTTTTGATTCTCTCCTTTAGAAGTGTCCTCTTTGCGCAATAAAAACAATGTATTTGTTGGTACAGTACATTAATTCCATTAAAATCACATTAAGTGTAATGAAAAGCTCTCAGAGTCTAATTATGCCTCAAACTCACAGACCCGCATCAACTTTTAAACCCAGTGCAATTACAACAGGAGGCGAACCTGTCTGGTAGACAAATGGTTGCTCCATTTCCAAATGATTATGACTAAAGGCCCACTGTCCCAATGCTATAAACCACACACTACGTACGTATGCAGACTCCAAAATCTGTGCCTTACAGGGCCCCGGCCGAGGTTTTCCGGGAGCCAGCCTGTTCTCAGGGCCAGCCAGACCCACACTGTGCTCATTCCCCTCTGAACAATGGCCCTGGACAGCAGTGACCTCCCCAGCAGCTCAGTTGTTGGGTGTCATGCCATGCACTGAAAGGTCACAGGTTCGATTCCCTGTCAGGGCACATGCCCGGGCTGTAGGCTTGATCCCCAGTAGGGAGGCAGCCGATCCATGATCCTCTCGCATCATTGATGTTTCTCTCTCTCTCTCTCCCTCTCTCTTCCTGTCTCTTTAAAAAGAAATTAAAACTTAAAAAAAATCCTATGCACAATAATGAGTTAAAAAAGAAAAAGGAACTTTCATGTGAGTAACATATGAGTAGTATATATTATCTTGCAAATATAATTCAAATACATTTTTCCATATAAATCACCTCAAATCAAGATCTGATTTCTCTAATAGCTCTAGTCTGAAAAGAAGTTAGGAACAGGAGTGAAGAGACACAGACGTCCACAGCTTCTTTAATTGCATTTTCTGCAAAACCCTGCAGTTCTATTTTTAATATTTGATTACACCATCCACAGAGCTATATTCCACAAAAGCAATTACATTTTGCACAGCGGAAAAATCAGAATGGAATAATATGCGGCACACTACCAACGGTAAGAAGAAGAAGCAATTTAGAACATTTTAGGATAATGACTGAGATCACGGATTCGGAAGTTACAGCAAACACATTTTACAGACATCTCTTCACAGAGTTGACTGCAAGTTTAAGTTATGCACGACGCAGATGGGGTGAGGGGGACCGCTGAGGGAGCCCAGTATTTTATCAAAACATTGGCGGAGGCCCTCTGAGCACCTAAGCTGTATCTTACCACACACTCTCCTCGCCAGCTCTCTCCAAGTCCAGAAGCAGCACTTACTAACCCGCAGTGCTTCCCTCGTCTTCGGGGCTTTTGCCTGAATGTCCCTCCAGCGCTGACAGAGCAGATGTTGTCCCCTGCTGTGTTCATGCTTATTTACGATATTTTATTGTCTTTTGTGTTTCTATTATTCCTGTGTTTGCTATTTTGGTCAACTTTTCTATTGGTTTGTTGTTTCCCTTTTTGAGGCATTTGGAAATTACATGTCTCTTTTCTATACAATTTTTAAACACCTATTTGAAATTATAGATCCAACACATGAATAGCGATAACACACATGCCTACAGGTTTTGTAGGTAGCTGTGTTTTCTACCACAGATGTTTTGAGCAACCGCATTGGTATCAACCATTCAGACTTAGCTTCACATTTTCTTGTTTTAATTGCTCACTGCTGCATTGTTTAAGCCAGTTCTTTTCATCCCTTGATTTACTTGTTATTAATAATATTCTGCATTTGGCTTATGCACGTCCATTCTTTTCTTTTTCTTTTTTCAGAAACGAAATGCAGAGGCGTTAAGTTATTTTTCTGAAGATATCTATTGTTTGCTCATTTATATGAACGAGCTTAGAAATCTCACCTACAGAAAGACTAGAGACATTTGCTTAACAACCTTTCTCCTTCTAAAATAAATACCGGCTGCTGCGCTATCTGCCAGCATTTCGCTTTGAGGACATTCTCTGAGACCTCTTCACCTTGAACGTGCAAAACTGACACAGAGGTGAACAAATCCATCACCACCTGAGCAGGATGCTCCTGGCCCTTTCTGGCGAAGGAATACTGTGATGCGCACCTAAGCTCCTCACTTATTATACAAATTATCTTTCAAACGGAATGGCAAGTGAGAAAACAGACATGTTTAAGAGTCCGTGGGGTAAAATAATGATCAAAGCACAAACTGGGCCGGGATGTTCCTAGAATCACTGGAAGTCTGAAATTGATTTGAGAACAGCCCTGTGGTTTAGCCTTATGCATTCCTAATCAATTCTCTCATAAAGCTTTTGGACAGCTACACTCTCACACACTCAAAAATATGTATTTCCATTTTTAAAAGCATCACTTTTCCATTTTTTGAAAGCTGTCATACCAAAAGGAAAAAGTAAATTCTCTGAATTGTTTAACTATGCATGGCTAGGACGCAGAATATAAAATGGGCAGTGTCCTCAGTCCATGCCCACAGTGCCACATGCATCACTATATTGTAAAGAGCACCCAGAACTGACAGGTTTGATAACGTGGGGGTTTTCCTGCGCTGCCATTCAGCAGCTCATATCAAAGTTAGTAGAATGAAAATGTCAAGAAACAGCGTCACATTTGGAAACCACAAAATACAAAGATGGAGCTGTCAGTCACCCCTGATGCTTGCCAAATGAAAAGTTTAAATATAGTCATGGGTGAGCAGAACTGCTGGCAGCCTCGTAAGCTCACCAGGCAAGACCTGGCCCTTTTTGTCTCACACTATATAACACAGGACTGGGCACACAGCAGGCACTCAGTTCTTTACGCAAGAATGGTAGGTGACTGGGTGGGTGGATGGATGGAAGGGTAGGTGGGTAGGATGGATCGATGAATGAACTGACAGATGAATGCATGGGTGACTGGGTGGGTGGGTAGGTGGATGGATAAAGAAATGAGTAGAAGGATAAATAGAGGAGTTGATGGGTGAGTGGGTGGATAGATGGATGGGTAGGTGGGTAGAAAGATGGGTGAATGGATGGGGTGGGTTGGTAGGTGGGTAGATAGAGGGAGGATGGATGGATGGATGGGACGATGAATGAAAGGCCAGATGAATGAAAGGACAGATGACTGGGTGGGTGGGTGGGTGGATGTATGAAGAAATGAGTAGAAGCATAAATAGATGAATGGATGGGTGAGTGGGTGGGTAGATGGATGGGTAGGTGGGTAGAGAGATGGGTGGGTGGGTGGGTGGATGGATGGATGAGTGAGTAGATGAAAGGGTGGATAGTGGATGGATGGATAGAACAGTGAGTGGAAGGAAGAGTGAGATAGGAAGGGAGGTGGAAGAATAACCCTGCACAACCACCTCTGATCTGACCTATCTTTAATGGTCCTGGAGACCAACACCTCCCCCAAATAGCCAAGGATCCATCCACTCTGAGTCTTGGGTGGGCTGACAAAGGACAGCAGGGACAACAAAATGGAACTACGCTACAGGTCTGTCTCCCGCTGTCCCTCCCGCCCACTCTCTGAAAGCAAGGGGAAAATATTGTTGGGTGAGGGTTAACAATAAAGCCAAGGTGAGTAGCTTCACATGTAGGTTTCATTGCCGTCGCTGATTTTAGTCTAGACCCTTTGAAGTAGGACACGTGAGTCGCCAGGCATAAAGGCTGCACTGTCCTCATTCCCTCCAGTGGGTCTGAGAGTGGTCACCCCTACACGCTCACACACACTGAGAGCCTATCTAAGAGGCTCTTTACTAGCTTGGGGACCTTCCCCCTCGGCCCCCCTCCCACACACACACACACACAAAGAAAGGAGCTTTGTTCATTTGCATCTTCGAAGTTCAGCGCTTTTCCGGTGACTTGCCTTTGGTACCTCTTCAGCGACGTGCCCAGTGACTCGACTAGAGTCTGCTGCAGACGCCGCCGTGGCACGTTCACGCCGCCCTATTGATTTGTGGCTGCTTTCAGTGAAATAGGGATGGGTGGGGAGGGAGACAGTGCTATGTCCCCACTCGCCAGTTCCGGGGGTGGGCGTTTGACACACACAGGATGCTAATGGCGCTGTGGTCCATTTCATCCGTCTTCCCCCTTATTAGGCCTTCCACTGCACGTAGGGTTTCTCAGTCCTTCAGCCGGGGATCTAACCATCTGGGGGCATGCCCTTTGCCTCATTTCCTTGATTGAAAATGGAAGATACAGAGAATGACTTTTGCAGCTGCCCCCCTTATCCACAGAGGATATGTTCCAAGACCCCCATAGATGCTGAAACCTACTACCAAACCCT